CCTCTCCTGAACCCAGACGACTAAAAAGGGGATGTGTGTGGGACATCTCCTCCAGCCCAGTGGGTTCCCTGTGTACTTTGGACCCTTTATACCCACTTAGCCCCTTGTGGGGAGCAGAATTTAGGAGTGGAATCAATGGACCGATTTCACTCCTGGAAGTCTTAGCTGTACGACCTTGACCAGTGAGTCCACATTTCTGTGCCTCATTTTCCTCATCTGCAAAATGGGGATCTTACCACAGCCCTGCTGGCTTGATGTCAGGGGAAAGGTGGTTCCCACACACTCAGTGCTTAAATCAGTCTGGCATACAGGAAGCATTTACTACATATTCCCTATTATTTCTTCACTGTTGTCTGTAGACCCAGCTTTTTCCTAGGATTTGTAACCTTCCTGCCTTTCTGTACTCGTATTTTTAAATCTGTTCAGTCACTGCTCATATTATCCCAGGTGGCTGTGGTGAGCTAAGCGTCTTTAAGGGACTGGCCCTGGCGGTCGGTGCATACCCTGAAAAGAAGCCCAGGATTTTCCTCCACTCAGCCTTGACCTACTCCACAGCCTGACTGCTTGCTGTGGACAGTCTGCCTCAGACCTAAGGATGCCACGAAGGACTTACACCATTTGCCATCCTTTGGTTTATTTGTCTGAACTTTAAGATACTTAACATGTGGAAGGGTCTTATTGTTTCTCCCTGAACCCTTCTTTCCTTTTTGGAGGCAAGCCCTAGTGTCCCATGGCTGGCCACCTGCCTCCTGTCAACCCCCAGCATCAGCCATGCTGGTGGTTAAAACACCACCATCCTGCTCAGCTGGAGCTCCAGTCCATGAAGTCAGTGCAATAGTTTCCTGGGGCTGCTGTAAGAAAATACTGCAAATTGGGTGACTTATTAAAAAAACAAATATATTCTCTCATAGTTCTGGAGGCTAGGAATCTAAAATCAAGATGGAGGAGGTAGGGTCATTTTTCCTCCAAAGATTCTAGGGAAGAATCCTTCCTTGCCTCTTCCAGCTTCCGGTAGCCCTGGCATTCCTTGGCTTGTGGCAACATAATCCAAATCACTGCCTCCGTCTTCACGTGACAGTCTTATTCCTGTGTTTCTGTGTCTCCAAATCTCCCACTCTTTATAAGGACACTAGTCATTGGATTTAGGGCCCATCCTAAGCTAGTATAACCTCTTCTTTACGTTTTGCAAAGACCTTATTTCCAAGTAAGGTCACATTCACAGGTACCAGGTGTTAGGACTTCAACATGTCTTTTGAGAGGACACAGTTCAACACGGGACACAGCAGTCAGCAACCAAAGCAGCAAGGACAAACAAATGAGAACAAAATTTTAATGAACACACCTTTTTTAAAAAACCTCTATAGATTTGCTTAAAATCAGTTTTAAAGTGGAAACCAGTATAGGATAGTGACTGAGAACATGGGCCACTGAATCACAGCATGAGTTTAAATGCTGCAAAGATCAATTTCTTCCCTCTTGTAAAAATAGAATAATAGTAATGCCTATGTCATTGGACTATTGGGAGGTGGTGGTGGTGAATGAGCTAAAACATGTCAACAACCATGTGTAATACCTATACATAGTAATTTCCTAGTAAGATTTATCCTTCTATTAGGTAATAAGGATTATAAATATCAAGGTATACAGACATTGTATTTCATTGCAGTGAACTTTCTGCCCACATGGCTTACCCTCTCTGTAAAGATAAAATGGATTATAAATATAAAGTTATTGTGATATTGTATAGCCACTGCAGTGAACTGGAAGACAGTGGCTACTTGATTTTATTTAAAATGAAGTTTATCATGACAGCAGCCATAAACATGCCAAGTTCAGAGTTATTTGTTTATACAATATCCAGTTAAGATGAGTTTTGTTACCATGGAATTTCACTTGCAGTGATTGTTTATTAACGTGGGCCAAGGTAAATTGCTTAGAAGTAGAAGCCTTCACTGATCAAATGGTGTGGTAATAGCAAATTAGATGCTTTTTTTCTACTGTTCTTGAGAAAAGGAGTTGAGGGGAAGAGAAACAGAAAAGTAAGGAAATGTCTTTAAATTTACTGTTAATGTACTTCTCTTAGTTTGGGTTTTTGTGGGGTTTTCTCATTTTGTTTTGTTTAAAATGCTCAATTTTAATCCAAACTACTATGGTTAATATTTTAAATCAATCTTTTATTAAATATTATAATATAGATTAGTATATTTTATTTTTCTCTCCCTTCCCTCCCCCCCCCACCCCCGTAACTACATTGTCCATGTG